ACTACACAGGAAGCACTGAGCCGAGCCCAGCTTCATTGAGCAGGTTGTTGGACAGATCCAATGCCTCAGGGACCAAAATCAAATAGTAGTAATAATAGTCGTAATAGTAATAATAGTCCTAATAGTCGTAATAGTAAATAGTGATACGTAATAGTAACAATAATAGTGATAATAACACTGCTAATAATGACTACTTCCGTAAGCGTCGGTAAATGGGGGCCTCAAGCAAGGACCCCTAATGTCTGGAAATCAATGGCAGCCCTGATGTACCATAAACCCAAACAACCCCACCCTAGGGGCCTAAACAAGTTGAATACTGCATGTCGTGTTTATACAATACAAGATACAAGGGTAACATTGCTAATCATTCCGGCTTGTGGATTAGTCCCTGGGAAGACGCCTTCTCCGAAGAATGATATGCTTGTTTGAGCAAGGGCTCTTCGAGAATCAGGAATAATGTTGACTAAGAAAAGGATTATAAACTAAGCGTGGCCGTCCCGCTTGCATATATCCCGGGGGCAGTTTGAAAACTCCCATGATAATCTTTCGCAAGTCACAAACACCCTCCAACAAGGGCTTTTAGAAAGGCGAAAGCCCTGCATGCCTGAACATGAAGACTTACGTACTTTTCTGAGAAGCCTCCACACAACCGCGCGAAATAGCATCGCAAAGGCGGTCAATGTCCTTGCAGGGTTTCAGCCATCCCTGTGAAACGAACGGGTGTGGTTGATTTAGGAAAAATTCCATCTGGGAGTTGTATCACGTTGGCGTCTGGCCGTCTGCTTGCAGACAGACTACATCATGTCAGCCATGGTCTGAGTATCCCCTATATGCTATACTAATCCCCTGTATTCCCCTATTCCCCTTTAGAACTCCGCTTCAGGAGTTTATTTAGACTATAGCTCATACTTAGGGAGGGGGTTGAAGTTGACAGTTTGAGAAAACACCTGTTCTTTCAAATGGACACGCCACTCCCCCGCCCCCCAATGATCCACCGACCCCTGGAAAACACGCTAGACACAGTTGCAAACAAGCATGATGCTTTTAAATGAGTATATACAGAGGAACCCAGGGGAAATGTAGAATACATGATCTGCTGTATTTCTTCAGATTCAACTGCTTTTGTGGAAGTGTGTTCTATGTACGGAATGGGCTGTTTTCCATGCGATAGAAACCTCGATACCTCGGCATAGAGCTCCTGTCTTCAAGGAATTGAAGAGTCTGAGAGCTTGTGTCTTCAAGGAATTGAAGAGTCTGTGTGTATGAGCCCGTAGGTATACATTTTATTGTTGAACAAGGCTTCTCTTGTGGATCATGGGGACGTGCGAGCATGTGTACAGATGTATCTATATGTCTATGTATTTGCACCCCAACACAACAGGATACCTTCCTTGTGCCAAACTCTTGAAAACCCACCTACCCCAGCTACCACCCGCATGAACCAGTTGGCATACTGTCTCAAGCCGTTTTGAGACACCCACACACATGCAAACGCACATGTAGCTTCTCACATGTGAAGGCCACTCGTAGCTCTGCCCTCTATACTTCCATGGCCTTCTATGAGCGCAGCTGAAATACGAATTGACCCGCCCTCATCCCTGAAGCCCAAATATGTAACAGCCAAAGCCCAAATTTGAACCCCGACGCCCCGGGGGGGCCACGCATCCCTGCATACTCAAGAGACGCTAGGGGCCTCAAAACATACCAATACCATTTTGAGGTCTGTTTAAGGTAGCCTATACCATGATTATACAAGGAACCTGAGACAATATATTGGTAACGAGTTCGGCCCCTACAGTACAGTTCCATACAAAGCCCTCTATAATCCCAGCTTCAAAGTCATTTCCGATGTGATTCTACATTATGGAAATGATGTGGTGAATGGTGGAAATCTTGCGCCAGTCTTGCACCACTTGAGATCCCCCTTACTGGAATCCCACGGGCTTATGGTATAGAAGGTGGTGCAAGATTTCCTTCATCCACAATATCCTCATTTCTCGAAAGTGTTGAGTCCTTGCATCGATTTTCCTGCAGTCCCAGCCCTGGGCTTTGCTGTTGGCGGTAGGGGATTGGGCGTACGGGATACGGACCACATGCGGGGTGGTAGGTCTGGGGTAGCTACCTGTTCGAAGGTCTTCATCTTCGAACTAATCACCTCCCCCTAATGTTCAAAACCCCAACCCCCTTCATATTGAACATTTCCCTCCCTCTTTCCTCTCTCTCTCTCTCTCTCTCTCTCTCTCCATATATGTATTTACATATTTGTATGTGAATATATATACACATTTATATATGACCTCACTCCTCACTCCGGACCTCGTCGAACTCCTGCCATTTGACAGCAACCCCAAGCACAATCCTTACCACTCCGATGATACGTCCCTATAAACATTCCCACACATCATTCGAGGTGAAAAAAGCCAGCCCTTAAGCCGAGCTGCGCTCTGCTCCAAAACCGAGAGAATAAAACCCCACAAACAAAAAAACAAGCAGCTGTACCCGCTACTGTCAGCCCTACACCCTAAATCCAAAACCCTGAACCCGAAACCCTAAGCAGCTCCACTGTCAAACCTTTGCCTTCTGTGCATCGATTGTCAGCACTGCTAATGGCCATGGCATTGTTCTTACCTTCTAAGAACTTTTGGAGGGACCCTGAATAGGGACCCTTGTAGCTTAGGGGGGTTAAGATGGGGACTACATAGGCTATATAGCTAGGGATATAGGGGCTGTATAATGACTATATGGGATTAAGGGTCCCTATTAGGGGTCCCTCCTAAAGTCCCCAGATACCATGAGTCCACTTCCAGAACAACGACTACCACCTCATTGCTACTACTGAGACTACTGGTCTTCTTACTGCTGTGGGGCTGCTGAAGTGAGACTGCAATCATGTCCATCGCCGTTTTAGTTCTAAACCCTACTTACCGGCGCAGTCTCAAGGATAGACTATCAAATAAACCTGAAGCCAAATCGGTAGCTATGCCCTGAACTCTTGCAGCGCTCCTAGGCCCTTACCTCTCAACATGTCACCTCTATTCGTCATCTGGTAACGGCCTAAACCGAATCCCTAACTCTGAATCCCCAAAAATTCATTCCTCACAACTCAGCCGGCGAGGCGAAGTGAGGCACGGCTCCGCAGCGCGCCGCTCAAGGCTGCCACGGCGTGGTCACTGAGGGAATTGCCGGAGAGATCCAACTCCTAAGCGTTCAAGGGTGTAGGGTTTACAGGGTTTATAGGGTTTAGTGTTTATAGCGTTTAGGGTTTATGGGGTTTAGGGTTTAAAGGGATTAGGGTATAATGACGGAGCCTCAAGTGGCAGCTGCTCCAAGAAGATCCCTGTATGTCTTCAGAGCGCTTCTCCAATCTCCGCATAAACGCTGCATATCCCAAGGGTCGATGAAGGTACCCGTTTGGGAGAATACCCGACATGTTGCAAGAGGGCTTCCAGAATGAAACAAGGTTTTAAGGCTTAGCCCTTCAAAGTCCAATAAGTGGAGAAGCATTATGTGGCAACAGTTTGTACTGTCAGAATGAGATGTGGGATGTTGCGTAATGGGTCCACACTGCGTGTTCTGGTGGGTAGGGAGGCGGAGGTGTGAATGCTCGGTACATGGCTGCAGGAACTAGCAGCGAAGGTTGTTTGTTTGGATGTCTTCCAGAGGAACCTCACACAGCCCAAAAAAGTAAGGGTAATCCTGCCTCGCTTCTGTGAGACCCGGCGGCAGGCTGCGCCAGAGCGGAGACCACGCGTCGCTGGGTGAGCCTGGCTCGTTGTGGTATACTACTTGGAGGGTCAAGGGGACTCAGTAAGTGGGTTAATAATGGGGATAACTAGGGTTACTATATGGGTTATTGGGGTTATTAACCTACTTACTAAGTCTCCCTGACCCTCCAAGTAGATGCAAGCACACCACAAATGCACCAGCCACCCAAAACATTAGTCAGGAAGCCACACACACACAGAATCTTGTGGAAGCTTATTCAGGCCCAGGTATGATGTGCAAGGTTGCAGTATGTTGGAGGACTGCGGGAACACCTCTGGGTTTGCTTTGGGGGGCTGCTTATATATGGAGACACCTCAGGAACCTCAGCTCATTTTTACAATGGTCTGTACCCAACACCTGGCGAGGACCTAACAATTAGAAGCCATGATGACCCCGATATGATTACCCATAATCTTCTAGGGGATGAAATTTTTAGATCCCTGCGGGGGTCTGGGTGAAGCTTCGCTGATCAATGCTGGTAGGTCGGCGAGCTACAATCTTTCAGATAAACCCGGCTTGGTGACAAAGCCCCTAGCTTGGATGATGAGCGTGAGCCTTGACATGTTTCCTTGAAAACTAATGCAACGTGCGCTTAGCCAAGGCATTGTGTGACCAATTACGGTGTGATTCCAAGTCTTCCGGCAATTTCTGAATAATCTATCAAATTCTGCTATAGCTACTTCAAATTGTGGCACGATGTCTCAGACCTGCTTATCACTAGGCACAGATTTGCTAACTCTTGTTCACGCCCAAAGCCCTGATGTGTGGCACTGTCTTGTAATGAGCACGGAAAGTTGTCATCGGCGATAAGTTTAGGCCCCAGTTAAGGGCCCCCCCCCACTTGCAAGCTTCAAGCCTCAAGCCAACATGCCCCGAAATAACTGCTCTGGAACTCTGAGGTACTCAATTCAAACCCTACACCCCCTGCCCAACTTCCACAAAGAAAACTCAAAAATTGACACAGCATTACTGTGCTATCACCAGATGTCACTACTACTGCTGCTACTTCTACTACTGCTGCTACTGCTACTCTGCCACTGCTGCTACCACCACTACCACTAACCACTAACCACTACCACTACTACTACCACTTCTACTACTACTACTACTACTACTATGATGACCTGCCAGGGCGCATGGGCAGCGAACGAGAGCCAGCATCCTCAGACCGGGACTTTGGCCCGGCTGTAGTTCAGGCGACGTCTCCGCCAACTCTGCGGCTTCTACGGTGGGAGCTAGTGCCTCAGGGGTTTCCAGGGATTTGGGTGTAGGGGTTTAGGGTTTAGGGGCTTGAGTGATGTGGGGGGCGAGGTTGTGAGTGGGAGATTTTGTTTGAAGGGGGCGGTGATTCATAACGTTCTGATTCATGGGATCCTGAATTGTGACTGCACCAGAAGCTGCACCTGCAAATCTTCGACGACGCCGTCGGCAAACCTAGGTCGAAAAGCATGAGCATTTGTGACCACGGGGGACCCCAAGGATCAAAGAGACTTTGGAGGAGATTTCTGGGGGGCGCGAGGCCCTGAACTCCAAAGCGTAGTAATCACCATTTAGGCTCACATGGGGGTTGTTATGAGAAACCTCCAACGACGTTCAAGCTCGCGCCTTGCTGGATGCGTCTTTCAGCGCTTGAAAACCGGGACTAGGGCTGAGGGGCTGCAACAGTGGCTACAAGATTGTGCGGGTGTCACGGGTATTTGGAAGGACTTCTGGTTTCGAAAACGCTTATGTCTCTTCGGCATGCAGGAGGGGCCCCTGATTTTTGGAATTGCTCGCATGGTAGATAGTCAAAACCGTGGCCCCTTTTGAAAAGTCTGGAACCCACTATACGACGACCGCCGTAATACGACCCAACCACGGCCCACAATTTTGACAACCCCTACATCAATAGTACCGGCCTGGGTCAGGATCCTCGTGCCTGCGTGACATGATTTCATTTTTGATGTGCAGGCTCACACACTGCAGGGCCCACCCCTCTGCAGGCCCCAGGAGCATTGTTTTGATTCAAACCTAGCTTCTGAAAAAACAAGGTACATATGAGGCAGGAAGTGCTTTCCCATCTCAGAACAGCAGGGCTCAAAGCAGCCCTCTTTGCTGATCCGTAAACGGTTTCTTCTTGATACCCATACCCATGGTTCTACAGTCACATGCATTGCAGATTGCAGGAGGTCTAGAAAGCCCTTGGTGTAGTCGGCCATGAGTTCTGCGTCCGCTTACGCCAACACACACTCTCCAAACCCCCCTGCCCGAGTCATGGATTGGCAGATTTTGTGTTTGTCACTTCACCACGGCAGGATGAACAAGACAAGTAAACATTGAATAGCTGGCTGCCAGAAATTCTGGAACCTTTCCGTGGTTGCGAGGAGTGGAGGAACGGATCCTCGTAGTAGCCCCTGCGTCATCCCTAAGACTGCGGGATTTCCCTTCCTTCAGTTCCTGCAGACCACTGGGAAAACTTTCAACTCTTGACAACATCAGTACAAACCGTGAAGCTACTGCCAAAGCCTAGTACCTGCAGTCGAAACTTTACACGGTCTACGACTGAACTTGACCCACCTGAAACTCCAAACCCGTTGTACGGCCTACAGCCAAGCCATTGAAATCCCTGTCAGAAAGCCCTTCCAGCGAGCCCGTGCTACCAATTAGATCCATATTGTCCTGCCAGATTTGTGTAATTCGCGAACAACTACAGCTAAAACTGTTTCTGGCCTCGAAGACAGTAATCACGCCCACCAAATTGCTGAACCGCGCACACACACACACACACCAAACATGCCCCTCGACCTGTTTGGACCACTGCAGGGAACATCCGAAGTTAGGGGGTTATGCGAGCCATAATCTAAATTCCTAGTACCCCCCTATATAACCCCCTTTAAGGAGTTTAGGCTATGGCTCATGCGGGTGTTGAACATTAAGGCCATTAAGGGAATCCCGAGCCTTCTGCCCAAGTGACTTGACTGAAGATCCCGGAGGCCTTCAAGCTCCAAACCTTGCCTTCCAGTCCTACTCTGGCCAATACACTTTGGATTGGGTACTGCCCTTTTATAATATGGGTATATATATAGAGCCCTTAATAGGATCCCTAATATAGACTGTTACTGGGGGGGCAGTACCCAAACTTTGGAACAGGAGACAGGTCCAGCTCCAGCTCCTCCAGCTCTTCTTCAGCTTCGGCGGAGGCATTCGTGCTGATGTCAGGAATGATCACCTCAGCCACTGTGAGCCCACGCTTTTTCGTGTTTCTGGGTGGGCCTTTTTAGAACACAGCTATCATGGGTGCTGGTAGAGGTGCTGTGGGAACGATCAGGAGAAGGGATTTTGGGAGTTGTCTCCAATTCCTGTAACATACCACGCATGGAGTTACGTAGTTTAAGTGTGTGACCCAAGCCCTGGGGAAGAGGGCGCTGCCAGGGCACGGATCTCATGCACAAGTGCTTTTTTGCATCTGAGGAGTCACTAGTTCTGGAGCGTCAACGCTCAAGTAGGCCTTAGGTTTCCGAGCCTTTCATGACCAAGAACCAAATGAATCCTGGCCCCAGCAAATTGCAGTCCAGCTGCTGCACCAGCTATGTGCTCCAAGTTCGCCGGCTGCAGGTTCAAGTCCTCTTCAGCTCATTCAGGGCACTGGCAACGTAACTGAGGGAGCCCAACCGAACTCTAGAAACCTGCCGCTCCCTCAAAACGGTTCCCATCGAAACCTTTGAACGTGAAAATGGTGCTGGGTTATCGGGATGTATCAGGACCACTCCCAAGAAGCCCTTAAAGAGGATCCATCTTGTGTCTGTTTTCAAACTGAGGGACCCCGACAATAGCGGCATATCGCGCTTGTGAAAGTTCTATGTGAGGGCCGTAGCCTGGACCCTAAAAGGCCGAAAGCCCCAACACTACTCAATGTAATCCCTAAGCTGTAATCACTGTCAGCCCTAAACCCTAAACCCGGATCTTTTCACCAGGCCTCTAAGCGAAGCTCAGTAAGCCGGCAAAGGCGCTCGTAGCTGAGCGCTGCGATGCGAGCCTGCGCTCGGAGGAGGGTTGGGGGTCTAAGTCTACTTGTTCCTGGTCGTGCCATTTCTACCTGCACACAGGCTTTAGCACCTGGATGTACGAAGCAGTGCGTTCAAACTCAATAGAGGTATGGCACAAATTGTGAGTGAGTCAAAAGCGCGTACTCTCGTTACTACCCTGAATAGTCCCAGCGTAATGATGTCTGGGTGGGTGCAGGCATCACTACCAGCATCATTGCGTCTCAGATTAGGGACCCTCGTTTATGTTCCCAAGGTATGAGGACCCTCAGTAATACTCTTTATCATATTGGGCTTACCCGCTTACCCAACTGCATTGCACACAAATGCCTGTGGCAGGCTAGAAAAGCCCTGAGCCGGCATCAGTGTTTTATCATGGGGCTACATCCACCAAGTGGGACAAATCCTTCAACGGGGCACTACCATGTGCCACCTAAGTAAGAATCAGCTACTCCATAACTAGGAGCCATGACAGGCACAAGGGGCTGAGTGTACTTATGATTGCGGCACGGGCACTCCAAAAAGCTGACTTGACATCCAGAGACCCGAAGACAGCAAAAAGCAATCCTGGCCAGACCAGGATTGAACGCCGCTTCCCCAAAATCGCGCACAGTCCTTTATTCAACGTCCCTATGCCGAGAACCACAATACAAAAGTCCCAGGCTAGTTGGTGCTCAGCCAGAGTTTTATGGTATATGGCTGAGGATTGCAAGCAGAGGGAGTCCTCCACCTGTGCAGACGCCAGCCCCTCGCCACCAACGGTGATTTTGAGGCACCCCTCATCCTCCGCTCGTTACGCTCTAGGGTTCAGCGTGTAGGGATGTAGGATTGGAAGCCCTATTGCTGAGTCCACTGCGCCCGAAGGAGAGCTGTATTTGCTGATGCGGTTCTATAGGCAGTGTCAATATGGCTTTCCCACTGCCGAGATCAAGCCCGGGCCCGACACAACCTAGGCCATCCTAGGCAGTTGAAGTCTAGGCCGCACTTTGAAGCCATTGCAGATATGCAAGATGGGCTAAAATCTTTTGTAATACATGCACATCTAAAATCACCTCATAGGACCGTATGCTTAGCCTCCCCGCCTTTGCAGTTAATCGTGTGACGCCACGGAAAACTTTGTCTTTTTGCTTGGCCAGGCATCTCCCTTAACCCGAGGCCCTAATGCGAGAAGCGGCTTCAACCTCTGTCTCCACCGCCAATGGCCCAGAGTTGCAACCCTGAAAAGGCTCATAAGCAATTAATTACTCAGGAAGGCTGACCAACAACTCCATGGCCTGGCGTGTTTCTTCTCTAGCAAGCACACAAGAAACACCTTGGATTCAGGCAACAACACATATAAGAAGACCAATCCCTGCACAACGCCGGCAGTCCTCCAGCGCCCGGCGAAGCTCCGCTTCGGACGAACAAGTGCTCGACTCCCCCATTTGGAATGGGAAAGTTAGCTTATGTATCAGGGCTATATAGGGATATTTAATAAAAGAAAATGGAAACGACAGGGATTATAGGCGTTACATAGGGATTATACAGTTAGGTCTGCTTGGAAGTACTAGTTCAATCTATGCTGGTAGCTTGACAGGACTATAGGTTCTCCCACCTGACCATGACCCCAAGCCCTAAACCCTACACCCCCTGTTAATTCTCCTACCGGGCAGGCTTCAGGATTTACGGTGCTTGTCCGGCTTCTGCAGAGCTTGTGAACAGCTGCCTTCCAAACTTGGGTGCATGCAAGGCATGTTCCAAAATATGAAAGAACAGCTATCAAGGGCGTGCAAGCTCTGATGCGCCTGCTTACAGGCAAGATGCCAAAGAATGTTCACGTAAAGGTGGTTAGTCTATCCGCACATCAAGCCCTCTACCTGTTGAGACGTGTGCATCTGCGCGAGTTGTCTGGTTCCGTCGAAGGAACCAGAGGCCAATGAAATTCGCGGCGCTGCTAGAAAGAACTGCTTGGAATGGCAGCCTTGCAAAATGGTGGATGTGAGGGTGCTGGCATGCAAAGCACTGAGGCCCTAGGTGACGGGCTGCATTTGCTTTCCAGTCTGACTGGGATGCGACATGAAACAATTCCCCTAATCGCTGCTAATCCCTGGCAGTATCTTGGATACCTCCAGAGGAGAAGGGGCACGCGGATCAGCTTCCTCGAGCAAATATCCTGCTCAATATTCTGCACATAATTTCATGTCCAGGGCTCATCATCAAGTCAGGGTCTGTAATGCCTGCGATGTTCAAACCAAACTCCTCTCAGATTGACATGGGAACTGTTCTCCGGAGACACTTGAACATAAACTAAAAACTTATCACTTGGACGAATACATATTTCTTCTCTGATCCCGTGAGGAAGTCAATGATCCGGCATACATAGGCTCCTTAGCCTTCACTTTGGCTGTACACACACCAGCGGTTGCGGGGCGCGTCCGCAACACGGGCTCCAGCTCCTCCGGTGCAAAATCAAAATGATTTAGCAGAAGTTGTATTATTTTGCTGTGTACAAAAGGTGCCAGATAGGAGAAACTCTGATACAAAAGGAATCAAGCTGAGAGGTTGCGGGAAGAAGGCAGGAATAAACCAGGGATTCTTTCTGGACACATGGGTAGGGCATGCGCAGTCACAGCCTCACTGCGTGGGGAGTTGGAGACCCAAAGGGAAAATGTGACTATGTCATGTATGTCTCAAAATGAGCATTGTGTGCTTTTTAGAATTAAAGTCAAACTTGTTCTGCTGACATAGAATGCCTACACGAACTTCGCGGGTTGCTGTTTTCCCTGCAGAACAGACTGCGCAACCCACGTTTGCTATGGTGCTGCCTACGCGGACTACAACGCATTCCCCGGCTGTCGGCCATTCTGGGCAGCACAAAACTAGTCTTGCCTACAACATAGCTAAACATAACACAGGCTACGCAGACGGGATTACCTATACATGCCCACGCGGAAACTACGCCCTGCAGCATAACTCCCATCATAGCATTTACGTACCTTCATATGTTCAAATGGGAAAAGCGGGCCTCTACATGCCCACTTCTAAGCCTGCGTTTCACTAGGGATGCCGTTGTGACTCCCCTTGTCCTGTGGTCAGCCGTCGACGGTGCATCCACCAAGCGATACATACTCAGGGAACAGCTCGGAGAAGACCTGTGCCAGATGTAGGGGTAGTCAGTATAGAGTTAAGGACTTGGTGTTCAAGATGTGCATAAAGACTGTGACGAGATACTCATACTACGAAACCAATGTAACATGACCGGGCCATAACTGGAGCGCTTTCCTTCCCAAGTCTATTGGCCTGAGGCTGGTGTAGGCGCTAGCGGCTTAGAGGGTCTGCAAACTGTCTTGGGTCTGTAGGTACGGCTGGCCGAATTCCTGATCAATTCATGTCTGTAGGGGCTTTAGGAGGCTTGAAGACTTTTGGAAGCTTCTGTGTGTAAGTAATTATAGAGTTTCGCTGCTCCTGTTTCATGGAGATGGCAGATAAAATAACTGCTCACCAGGAACTGCTGGGATTTCATGTGTAGGGGTCGGGGAAAGGCAGGAACCTCCCATGTGAGGAAAGGTGTGCACAGTGAATGGGCCGTGTTTCTGGAACGAAGGTGAGTACGGTCAACTAATGACGTGGAAAGGCTGAGATCTTTAGCCAAGGATCTTAAGCCAGAAGGTAACACCAGTGTTGAGTTCCTTTGCTGCTTCTCGTATCTCACATGCTAAACTCTATTGAAAAAGACGCCGCAGCCTGCAGATAATATCGATGTTCAGTGAAGCTCCGCTTCTCATGAACACCCTCAGCGATGGGATCCAGACAGATGCGTCCCAAAAACTCAAACCACTCACACTCTAACCTGATTCTCGAAGTCAGGACCAAAATCTTGGCCGACGCCGCAGTTCAAGTCGGACCCACAAAGAGAACCATAATGTTAGGCCTGTAGGGCATGGGAGGGTCTGCCCACGACCACCTCGGGCTTTCCCAGGGCCTTCTCAGCATAATGGGCCTGCGAAGGGGCAGTGGACACTGGACGTTTTACATCGTATATACATATGTTTATACATGTAGACTTACATGTGCATATGTGCATAAATATGCATACTTTCCATGTATTTATGCGACGCATCCTCCTCAACAGACTGCAGCCCTCATTCCAATGAGCCCAAACAGGGACACCACAATTTTAGGGCATGCCTTGACAGCCGAAATTCGGGTAGAAGGCAGTAGGGTAATGGATTGCAAGCAAGTCGTTGAGGTACCCAAGGCACCTTCAGCTTGCCAATCTCAGGTGCCAGGGTCATCAACCTTCAAATGCAGGAGTACAAAGATCTATCTCAATTAAGAGCTGTGGGATAAAAGCACTCTGGGATACAACCTGGTTGAAAGTTTGAGAACTTGGAGTGCTTCCCGCCTTCGGGGTAGATCTTGGATGCCAGAGGCTATGGATTTCTAACTCCAGAATTTCTGAAGTTTACTCTCATCATTGTTGGCCTTGTAGATGCGAAGCTTCTCCTCCTATAGGAGCGCACGGCCGCTGATACGGACACTGGGGTCAGAGTAGTCGCCACAACCATGGTGAAACTTTCTAAACAGGCTCCACGGAACCGGAGGAAAGGGCCACAGCGCACTGTCCGTTGAAAAAAAACCTACGTAAGCCCTAAACCCTAAAACCTTAACCGCACGATCTGGTTCTGGGAGCTCAAGCCAAGGCTACGCTTGAGCCCGGCGATTGAAGTAGACCGTAAGACTGACAAAACCTAGGTTGCTGTTGAGGTGCTTAGTTTAAATTACTATAATAAGGGAACCCCATTATTTACGATTTACCCTTATTGCGGTAACTTGAATTTAGTTCCTTAACAATCCTTAACATCTACCCAGAAACCCTCTTAAGCTTGAAACGTGTCTGCTCTTTCAACAGGTGACCAAACGGACCACAAGTGGCGGTAATGTCGACAAAATAGCACACTAAGTAACAACTGTTTGGAAGACGAGGCATGCTTGTACAACCTTCAGCTTCATCTAAAGGATATAGATGGTAAAGATGCACTTGCTCAAAACAAGCATACATGACTAAGCTTGATTGTTACTTCCAACACCCCTAAACCCACAATCCGGGTCCTTATACTCCAAACTGTACCGTGAACCCTCCCAGCTAGCAACTCGTCGAGTCGTTCGCGGGCTTGTAGTTCAACAGCCTGAAGGGAATCGGGAGGTAGAGGCTCGGGGTTTGGGTTACGCTGAATGTACGCAAGATTTCCGCAACCCAATCCCAAAAATGAACTCTATGACTCTATGACTGTGAGTGACATGGCTGCTGTGGTGTCCCCAGCTTTGGTTTTGGAGTTTGGTACGAAGCACTAGGAGCAACTGGGGAAGCAAGTATTGGGTCCCCATGCTGTAGGAATGCTCACTATGCGCATGCGGCATACGCGGGAGGCTACCGATAAGCGGTGAAGAGTGGTGCTGAGCCTTGAGCAGGTTGAGAACGGTGACCTACCCCATCTGCCAAAATGAGGGTCCTACAACTGACAAATATCATTGGTTTGGAGGGTCCTTTCTATTGGGGGGGTACATATAAACCCTTATAAACCTAATCACGGCGACGGAGCCTGCTTTTCAGCGAAGCGAGGTGCTGCATCGCGGTTTTGCTGAAGAATTGAAAGAATTACAAGTGTTGGGTCCACAGTTGCGAAGAAGGCTGACGCTTTGGCTATAACTGGAATACCTGTAAACTTCCTGATTCAGTTCCGTGGTCCTCAAGAGGAAGGGCTCGCGGAAACAGACGACTGCGTCGAGCTTGCAGTCTAGGAGCCATTATCCCACTCAAGTACGATTGGAATTTGCAGGTTTCATGAAGATTTGACAGGATGAGATGAGAAGTAAGGATTGCCAACCCTAAACCCTAAACCCTACGAAACTTCAAAGAGGGCGGGTGTAAGGAGTAAGAGACCCTGCACCACTCCCTGGGCATGAAACTCGCCAAGCTAAAAATCCCACTCCCTTTCGTGAAGCTCTATAGTCCCACTCAAGTACGTTGAATATGGGGTATATGGGGATCTTACTATAACATACCCAAAGCCATATTCTATCTACTTAAGGGTGACTATATCTCAACAATCTAAATGCACAACCTGGCTGGGCCTTAAGCTCGTCCTCTTCCGTGACGGTGGACTTCTGTGGCTCTCGGGTGGCCTCCTTGGTTGCAAAACTGCCAACGAAAGTTATCTAGGCTAAATGGATGGCTATTTCTCAAAATTTAGGATTGAGGGTTCAGGATTGAGGGTTGAGGGTTAGGGTCCAAAATATGTGAGGATTCTTAGGATAAGATTGCCTCCCAGAAGGTTGAGGAAGAACCCTTGGAGGGAAGGGACATGAGTTGCGCAACTGTCTAAGTTAAAATATGCGCGTTGCTCTGCACAGCATCGCCTACTAAGCGCGTGTAGTTTACTTGGTTGGCCTTTTCAGACCTTTGAAAAACAGTAATATAGATGGGTCCCTATAAAACCAATAAAGAACATATTTAAGGAACCCAAAGACCTACCCAGTTTAGAGCTTCTGGTCACTGAACAAGTTCAGGCTGGAGCATTGAGGGTTTGGGGTTCTGATTCAGGCCGTCCTAAGGAGGCACGCGCCATGGTGTTCGATGGCGTAGATGCGTCTGCTGACTATCAAGACCTCTATAGCCTTCCCCTTTTTTGCATACCTACCTTTACGTCTAGTATCCTCTGTAGAGGGCACAGCGCTACAGAGGTCTAGGTACTGTGCGGGCCTCACCTCTGCAATCACGTTTGCCTGGAAAGTCGCAAGCCGCAGGTGAGGTGTTGTTTTGGTGGTTGACCCAAACAAGATCCCCCTTCTTCTTGCCGAATACTATATCAAAGAAAGCGTACAACCAGTAACTGTATAAAGAAGACTCCATTGGCACAAGATTCCGGTAGAAACTCCACGAAATCCTCCTGATGCAGGATGAATGACGAAGCTATCCGCATTTGCATTAGATGCTTGCTGACTGCACGCATGCCTTCAAGTGCAAAGAAAGGACGAAATGGTGAAACCATGTAATCACGAAGACAAACTCAGATTGCCTGCTTTGTTTCCTGAATATGGCCTACTCTCAGATGAGCCTGAGTCTAAACTCCCAGTATCCCCTTTATAACCTCTAGAATACTCCCCTATATAACCCTCTACATAAGCACCATTAAGGAGTTTAGACTATAGCTCAGATTGCACGCTGAGGCTGTCACTAAACCTGCAGAATTGTTTTCATGAATGAGGGACCCGGTATAGACCCCCGAAAACTCTAGTCCCTAATTATAGGGGACCCCCAAAACGGGTACCCCTGATCTTTGGAAACCCCCACATGGCTCCCATAAGTCTGGTCCTTCTCTCCTTTCTCTTGCGCTGTACACAAGCTTTCACTGTGACAGCTTTGCGCGTGGTGTGTTGGAATAGTTGCCGACGCAACAAGACGAGGACCCGAACGTCTTGAATATGAAGGGTCTTAGCCATTGCCCCGATTACTCTCAGCCCTACGAGCTCAGCACAGCATGCCATCCTCTATCAGAACATGCAGGCCTTCTGAAAAGGACTGTGATTTCACTCCCACCGGGTCCTTCAGCATATACTTCAGCTGCAGCTGTTCGGCTACCACCTCTCCGCCCTTCAGGACGACGCCGCCGCCCTGCAAACAAAAATAGAAGTCAGAGTCAGACGCCTTATCTACCCATCATGTGCTTGAAGTGGAAAGAAGATTGCGCATGTGATTTAGGGTATGCTCTCAACGAGCGCATTGGCAAATACCACCTGAACCGTGGGTATGTCAGGTAGGTTTTCTTACGGGGTCGCCGAGACAGGCAGGCGCGAGGGAAAGTCTGACTCAACTCTACTGCACGGGGTCTCTGCAAATCATGGGCCCTGTTCGTTTGGTCCCCTGGAAATCAAGTATGCAAGTTTAGGAACTGTAGGAGTGTGCAGGACCGAAGGCCTGATGCTTAACGTTTGAGAAATACCAGCGCGATGCCAAGGGAGTGAAAAGGCGACTCCAAGTGCCTAGGGCATCCGGTTTAAGTGTCTTGATGCCTGCGCCCAACACCGCCCAGATCAGGCAGAGTTCCACACTTGCTGTGAAGCGGTGCAGGACGGGCATCTCGAACAAACTAGACGCACGCTTGCCCCAGATATATCAATGATTATATACCATCATAGCAAGCTTAAACCTTGACCATGTCCCCCCAACCCTGCCAAGACCAGAAATTCAAAACCCAGGTCCTCACCCGTCTGTGTCACTTTGAGAGCGGCTAGCGCGGTTTTCGCGTCCTGCCGGGTCTTCATGCAGTTCTGACACCTCCTGAGACCACCAGAATCCAACCGTTCTCAAGATTTTGAAGCCCTTAGCTTTGCCTATTTTGGCTTCTGAGCGAAGGCCGGGTCAGGTAACATTCGATCTGTCTAGACAGTCTAGACAGTGTAAACTCCCAGTACTCACCTAAATAAGCCCTAGAATACTCTCCTATATTATCTCCCATGTAACCCCTTCAAGGGGTTTAGCCTATTTCTCATGTGGATCTGTCTCACCTGTAACGGTCTTCCCCCGTTTGAGACTATGGCTCATAAGTTGCCGGGGGAGGAAAAACAGGTTTCCAAGCCCTTTCGCTGCTGAACTACTCTGAGTGCGATGCTGAGACTAATGAGAACGAAGGCTTCTTGCAGCTTAGCTTGTATGAACGTCACCAGGTCTACTTCAAGTCATGTTTGACGTTGCTCAACTTTTATTGCAGGCTCTCAAACGAAAGAACCTTGATGCTCGCTCATATAGGGCAAGATGATATTGGACCCGATAGCTCAGAAAAACGCTTCTTTACCTAAAGGTCTACAGAGTTTAGTGGACGTCCTTTCCTACTTACGCCCTTTGAGCTATTTGAGATACTAAGGGTCCCGAAGATGTTCCGAAACCTGAAGATCCTTCTCACATAAGCCGCAAGGTATCTGACGGCAAGTGTTCCCAAATCCTGAGACACTTCCAAAGAATGCGCTAGGTGTATTCGCAGATTTTGATCTCGTGGCCTCAAGCTTCTCGAAGCTGTCGACGGTGAGGCCGGAGTCTGTCAGGAAGACCTCAATAAGTGCCCTTGGAGGTTCATCAGAAGTACGAGAATGAACCTCATGAGCCACGGGGCTATAAAGGAAGGCACTGTCAAACTAGTAATTAAGCCCCTGGAGGTGGGGGTACTGCTGATCTGGCTTTTGCTATATGACAACCTGTGAGGAATTTGCTGGTTGCATATTCTATGTACGGAGGGTTGTAAGCCTATGATGGCTACCATATGGGGCTGCATTTCACAAACGACCTTTTACGATCTGTCATGAGATGTCCCACAGACTAGAGAGCCATCTTGCACTCAGCCCTTTGTGTCCCTGGCGATGACATGTCTTTACCCCCTACCCCAACATGGAATCGTCATTGTCAGGAAGCCGCCCTAAATCCTGAACCTCTCACACCCCGAATACAAAGAACGCCCTTAAAGCTGAAACTCTAAAGTCTGGACTTAAACCCTGAAACACCGTTTACAGAACACCCCACACAAGCTCTTGTCCTCTGCTTCTTTTCATGATAACCCATTATAGTAGTTTCCATGTTCTTTTCCATTATCCTTATATAACCTCAATAATATACCCCATATTCTATCTACTTAAGGGGCCCTAAACCCTATAACCCATCTTCTTTTCATGAACTTTTGATGCTGGGTGCGCCGCAAGCTGCCAAAGCGAGGCATCTGCAGCGCGTAGCCGCTGAGGCTCCTTGAGCTGTTGCTTCTTGTTCTGGTCGATCTGGAATGATTATTATTGTTACTATTACTATTATTATTACTAGCATTGTTATTATTATTGTTATTACTACTATTATAGGGTTTAGGGCCCCATAATGGAGAATCAAATGGAAAAGAAAATGGAAAATGAAATGGAAACTGGGATTATATAGGGGTTAGTTGAGTAGTATTTTATAATACATTGTTCGTGATGGTAGTGGTGGTGGTAGGTGTAGAGGCTTCAGCCAAAGTAGTTTGCTGTTGCTGTTGCTGTTGTTTGTTGTTCTTTGCTTGTTCTTGTTTCTGCAGTCACTACACGTAGAACAGAACCGAACGAGAATGACCTAAAAGACACAGCAAGGACACGCTACTTTATTTGGTAGTTTCCCAAAA